AGAGTGGGGAGCAGAACAGGCAGATTGACGAAGTATACTGCTGAGGGGAGCAGCGGGCGGGTCAGGAGAGGTCTGCCTCACCATGTGGATCTCCTCCAGGGCAGGCGGGGATCGAACTCATGCAGCAGTGGCACAAGCTTCTTAATGCAGTGCTTTAACCTACTGCGCCGCCAGGAAGGGCCAGCCAGGTTATTTTTATAAAAAGATAGTATGTATAACATTATCTTCTCACAACAGCTAACTGTAGATATATACACTATATGCTCATGTATCATCTTCACAATCAAGAGAAACTTCCTTTTAATTATGAAGAGGAAAAACAAACACGTCTGTCAGTGAAATTTAGTAAAGTAGACTGAAACAGAGGAAAGAAAAGTACAGAATAGGAATATGACAGTAATAATGACAGGGTATAAGTGGAAAAATCACAGAAAAATAGTATTCTAAAACAACATCACTCATTGATAACTGAAGAAAACTGATAGAAGAAAAAAGAAATGAGTTATATGAATTCGTACAACATTCCTTCCACTAAATATACTGCCACACAGCTTCTACTATGCACATTCTATTCGCCTATTTCTGATGTCACAGGTGCTACATACCTTGATAAATGATGAAACAATCCTTTGGCAAATCCTGTCGAGTGATACAACCTCCATCTGCTCCCATGAGAAACAGTACTTTAGGAGGATTCTTCCGAATTGCTTCCACCCCAGGTTTATATCCAATATCCAAAGCAGCTACCTGGCTTGCGATCCTGTAAAACAATGATGGACTTGTAGTATACTTTGTGTTTTTATTATATAAAATTAAATGTATTCCTGGAATGATACCCACTTTCTTTTCCATTCAATATAGTCAAAAACCTTCCCTCATGTTTTTTTTTTTTAACCCATTTAAAATGGATGTCACGTTAAGAAACAGTCACTGGCTATATTAAAAATGAAAAGGGAAGGGCCCTCCCTGGTGGCGCAGGGGGTTAAAGCACTGCACTGAGAAGCTAAAGCCACTTCCGCATGAGTTCGATTCCCGCCTGCCCTGGAGGTGACCACATGGTGCAGCAGACCTCTCCTGACCCGCCCGCTGCTCCCCTCAGCCGTGTACTTCGTGATCTGCCTGTTCTTTTTCCCATTCTGTCTCTGGTGAAGCCTCTCGATGCCCCTGAGCCTCTGCCTGTACCCCAGTTCTGTATGCACAAATAAATAAATCTTAAAAAAAATATATATATGACAAAGGAAGAAGATTCTTAGGAAACTGTCTCCTATCGTGAGATAATAATGGGTTAAGTTAGGAAACTTAGATGAAAGCAAATGCCTTACATTGATTCTTTTATTTATTTATTTATTTTATTTTATTTGTGTGTGTGTGTGTGTGTGTGTATTTAACCCAGGACTAGTATTTGCTCATACAATTACATTGATTCTTATTAAATACAGTAAGATTAAAAATACATGATAAGTCAAATATAATCATTAGAGAACATCAGACGATTTTGGAAACCAAAAGTGAGAAATGTAAACACCACTCATAAAACTCTAATTCAGAAAAAAGTATAATTAGTATATTACATTGTTGTATGCTCCTGTGAATTTTTTTCTATGTACACATGCTACTCATGTAAGTAGAAATCTTTTAAAGACAAGGTCTGGAATAACTAACACTTTCAACAACTAAAAGCCTGGTCTATTTGTATAAATTAGCTTGTCTTCTACCTACTTGTTAAGAAAGATGGGCAGCTTAAAACATCTCCCACTAAATACTACTGCTCTGTCAACCCCTACTGGACAACATCAAAAGTATGAAATATTTAGAAAGAATTTAACAAAAGAAGTGAAAAATTTGAAAAACAAACAAAAAAACCCACTAAAGTTCACTGGTATCTTGTATACTATTGTATTATATACAATTAATGACTACCATCAAGTTGCATGTAAACAAGAAGGAAACAGCTTAAAAAGTAAGTGTATTAAAGACATAAAGTAGCATTAAAAATTTATATTGATGAAGACTTTCTAGTCACAAGAGGAAAATTCTTATTTGGAAGGAGAACTAACCAAAATAAGGACACAAAAGCATAAACAGTATGATTTTAACTACAAAACGAAAAAATAATTTACATAGGGAAAAGACCAGAAGAAAACATTAAAATAGCACTTGTAAGTATCTATAGTTGGTAGAATACAACTAGTTTCCATTTTCATATTATTTCTCCTTTTCCACTTTCATAACATAAACCTACATTATTTATGCAGTCAAGAAAAAACTTTACTTCAGATGAATTTTCATTGACTTTCATTTTTATCATTTAATTAAAGTCAGAGGATTTGTTGCAATCTTTGAAATAAGATATAGTCATATTATACAGATTTTCAGGGCTTTTCAACACTTACTGCCATTTGGGATTATTTATCATCTTGGCTTCTTCTCACAAAGAAAATAAGGGTTTTTATTTTACATCTGCTTGAAACAATGTTGCTAAAATTGTTGGTAAATCTAATGTGAGAGTGTAATAGAACACAACATTATAGTAACATAAAATAATTACTCAACACACCTATGAAGGATATTCATAACTTTCCAATCACCAGTAACACCACTACTCATCCGAACCTTGTAAGCAATGTTGGAAACGGCTGCAAGAATTGCTGCCCCATCATTTCTTTGGAGTGCAGAACTGCCTAAAACCACCATTGGTTTTTTAGCTTCCTTTAGGACCTATTTAAAAAAAAAAAACAAAAAAACTCTGATTAAAAGTACATTATGGGGCCCTCCCTGGTGGCACAGTGGGTTAAAACACAGCACTAAGAAGCTATAGCCACTTCCGCATGAATTCGATCCCCACCTGCCCCGGAGGTGACCACATGGCGCAGCAGACCTCTCCTGACCCACCCGCTGCTCCCCTCAGCAGTGTACTTCATAGATCTGCCTGTTCTGGTCCCCACTCCGTCTGTGGTGAATCCTCTCACTGCCCCTGCTTCTCTGGCCTGTACCCCAGTTCTGGATGCATAAATAAATAAATATGTATATTTTTTAAAGTGCTTTATAAATAACATAACCTAAACCACTCTGCATCTATGATTCATTGTCCCAAGTGTCAGTTCTAATCTGAACAAACTTTTTCATTTTCAAGTCAGCACATGGACATCTAACCAGATTTAATGCAAAACATCTTACCAATGAGCACTGGTTCACAGCATCATATAAAACAGATTTTTTAAAAGTAAGCAATGGGAATGAAAGCCCAAGCCAAAAAGTCTTTGGTGAAAATGGCTATAGGCATATCCCAGAAAAATCTGGGCAATGTAGGGTATAACAGGAGAAATCATGCCAAAGTATCATGTCTACAGTCTCCTCTCCACTCACCATGTCTGAGACAGGGAGGAGGAAGTAGGGAAAGCAATGGTCATTAGGTCATAATACAGAATATCTGAAACTATCAGATCTTCTCTTTAAAGTAAGGGGTAGTACATCTTAGGAGCAAAAAAAACTGAAGATTTGGTAAGCAGAAAAATAAGAAATAAAGCTACAGACTCACTCTCATCTCTGTATCATTCACCAAAAAATGGCCCTAATCAGTAGAATTAAGATTAGAGACTATAAAAAGAGAACATTCAGCAGATGATGAATTTCCTGAGGGAATGTGAGTTCAGAGAAATGTTTCTTAATAGTGTCAAATAAAAATCAACGCTCACTTTTCTCATACACAACAGTGTATTTTACAAAAGGATGCTTTTGTCAAAGAATTCTAGAGAGAACTATAAGAAAAACAAGTTAGAGATGAACACCATGCCCAAAACAACAAAGACAAAGTAAAACATGATTACAACTACAGGAAAAAGAAAGATAGACCACAGAAAATTATATAAAGGAAGTTTGAAAAAAGAAACCAAAGAAAAATGATAGAAAGGGGAGCCAGTAAGGGCACTGTTAAGCATTCATAATGAACAGAGTCATAACGAAAAGATAAACATTGAATTCTACAATAGAAAACTTTCCTAAGTATACTCGTCATCCTGGAGTCATGTAATGATTTTACTTGTCACCCTGGACGTCTGTGGGCCTAGGGTAGGCATTACAGTGAAAATATACTGCTTGTAGAGTTCAGAGCGAAAAAGAAAGTGACTCTAGAACTAAGTCCTAACAATGCTCTTAGGAATAAACACATTTTCAAAAGAGCAAAATCTCAAGGATGGTGCAACTACAAGTGCCTGCTGAAACAACAGAACAAAACACTGTGTACTCCAGACAACAATGACATGAGTACCGAGAAAGAACTCAGTAATGAAAAACTCATGTAAAATGACTGGTGAAATCTTGCAGTAAAGAAAGATTTCATTAAAGCTTGAACTTTAATTCTTTTTTTTTAAAAGATTTATTTATTTATGCATACAAGAACTGGGATACAGGCCAGATGTGCGGGATGTGTGAGTGTGTATGTGTATGCGTGTGAGAAGATTCATTAGAGACAGAGTGGGAACATTACAGGTAGATGTACTAAAATACACTGCTGAGGGGAGCAGCGGGTGAGGAGAGGTCTGCTGTGCTATGAGGGTCAGCTCCTTGGCCAGGACTCGGCATGCTACAGTGGCTATGATAGCTTCACAGTGCTGTGTTTTAACCTGCTGTACCACCAGGGAGGGCCCTTGAAGTTTAATTCTTTCATTCAATTTCTTTTCTGATAATGACAAGTACAATGTAACTGGTAAATAAAAATAGGTATGGTATGATCTCATTTTTGTTTGCTATCTAATTCATTCATTTTGCTGTGTGAATAAAGATGATTCAGTGAAGTCTCATCAATATTTATTTGGGGTGATGGGATTCTGGATAATGGTTTACTTCCTTCCATGACATTTCTATATTGCTATATAGATAGTAATCACATGTCATTATTACAAAAACAATAAAGAAAACAAAATACTTAAAAATCAACAAGAGAGCACCTGGCTGAATGGATGGCTACCCGAAGCAATGTCCTGAAGAATTTTTGGGGAGTCTCCCAGGTGGTCGTATCTGTAAGTGAGGTCCACTGGGCTTCCTATAAGGGCCACTTTTAAGTCATTATGAAGCCAGCTGAAACAAATCAAAGAAGTTTTTAGAGCTAAATTACTAAGAAAGTTATTGGTCTCAAAGTAACTACTACATCTATTTATATCACAAAATGTTATAAACAGAATAGCAGTCACAGAACACTTAACCTTAACAGATACAATTTATTGTATATCTTTCAAAATAAAGTATTACAAAAATACACAATAAGGCAATACAATAAATTCACTGTAAATAATGTTAACTGTAACTCAACTACAAAGTAATACTTTTAGACTAACTGATGTTTATAATTGATGTTTAGTTTTTATTTCACCATATTTATAAAGTATTCCCCAGCTATTCATTAAGCCCACTTAAGGATAGTTTAAGAAATTAACTGAATCATTCATATTTATCCTCTGTGACAGGAAAGTATGGATCTGTTCTTTCAAATATAATTATAAATGCAGAGACCTTGTATTCTGGTTTGTCTGAGACAGTGCTGGTTTTTACTTGTCATCCTAGAGTGATTAATAATTCCTTTTTCACTTTCAATCATGTGCCAGTTAAGACAATAAATTCCATGGTTAACCTATTCACAAATTTCTAAGATCTAAATATAAAAAAATGGGGAGGCACTCTACATAAGAGCTGGTCTGTGCTCTTCAAGTAAATGTCAGTAAAGAGGACTGAAGAGTTATGGCACTAACTACACCATGTAACTCCTGACTGAATGCTGAGCAAGAAAACATTCTTTTAGAAAAGGAAATATAGGAAAATTGATGGCATTCTGAATATAATCTAACCGTTATAAGTAGTACTCATATAAGTAGCACTAGTCCTGTTAAGTACTAAATTCTTGAATTGCTGAAAAGAATGTTCCATGTTCTTAGGAAATCCATGCAGAAATATTTAGGAATAAAACAAAAATCATATCTATAACTTACTTCCAAATGGTTAAAAAAATTATATCCATACATATATAAAAGTACAGAAATAATAAAACAAATATAGAAAATGATTGAATGTTTAATTTGAGTAAACAGAATACAAAGGCCATTTCAAATATATTGAATTATGTAAAAATAAAACATAAAGATCTGCAAGTGGGTAAGAAGTAAAGCAGATCTGTAAGCAACTGCTCTTCAATTATCTTTTGGATAACTATTATTACCAACCTCTTCCGAATTCTAGCATTAAATAGTGGTGCCTCAAAACGGGGATTTGTACCAACCAGGAGGACGACATCTGCCTCTTCTACACCAGCAATTGTAGTATTTAGAAGATAATTGGAGCGTAAATCTGTGCTAGAAAAGACAAAATTAAAAAAAAAAAAACCATAAACGTACTTTATTTTTATTCAAGTAACACAGTATTATAAGATACAAGCTTTAGGTACCCACTGTAGAAAGGAATATATGCTACATTCACTAAGTTCACTGCTAAAAGTCCCAATCAACCCTTCACCATACTATTTGTCACCCTTTTTCGATTTATGCACTTCCTTCTCCTTTCTTTTCTGGTAACCACTTTATAAAACTGGTTTTAAGAGTGCACCAGTTTATTTTGGTCATCTTTTTGTTTTTCCCTATGAAGTACACACTAGTGAAATCATATAATGTTTTCTCATTCTCTTTCTGGCTTATTTCACTAAAAATAATTCCCTCTATATCCATCCATGCTGTTGCAAGTGGCAGGAATTCATTTTTTTTTTATACTTGAATAGTAATCCATTAGAACTAGAACCCCTCTTTGCCAACATGACCACAGGCCCGTTCACACTAGGAGAATCAGCAAGAGAGAATAAGGGGATGCACAGGGTTCAGAGGACGGGGCAAGATGCATACCCATCTCCACCAATCTAACATGCTTCACTTCCTCCCCACTCACAGCCAGAATTAGAGAGGCAGGGAAGGAGGGGGGTATCCGAGAAGGTGAAGAGAAGAGAAAGTGGGGTGAAAAGAAGGTAGGGGACACCATGGCAAGTTCACTTTTAAACCCAAGGAATATTACATTAAACCCAAGGAATATTCTTTTATCATCAAACCTATAGCTCTCTCAGAAGAAAAAAAAAATTCATGAAGTATTCTTAAATGACATAAAAGTTTCAGACACTTATAAATAATCGGATTCGCCAATACTTTTTGGTTTGACACTGGAGATGTAAATGTTGCAAGTTGGAGAATCCAAGTTGTCACATATAAGGTACTGATGGCCCGGTGTGAATGATGTATATACAACTTGTACATGTAGGGAAAAGAAGGCCTAGACCTCAGCTTCAGAGTTCTCACCCTGCTCCTGCGGTGGGGAAGACCTCTTCAGTGCACAGAGTGTCGGAGTCTACTCTGTTCAGTAAGTCCTTGAGAGCTACTAGAGCTTCAGCATCCACTAAGCCACCTGCAATTGCTGCCACATCTTTACCTTTAAAACTCTGCAACTGGAAATGGATGAAAAGGAAATCATCAAGAAATCCTGATTCAGCAAGAAACAATATGAACTATTCAGAACAACAAAGATATACTAAGAAGTTTTGAAACCAGTTATTAATTAACCTTAAAGTGAAAATAGAGGCATATATAGGGTAATGCTAATAACAGCAGCTGGGAAAGGTGTTGTTTTAAATTAGTCCTCAAAATATGGCCTGAGAATAAAGGCTGTGCAGTTATAGTTAAGTCAAATTTCTTCTGAAGTATCTTCTGTCATTTTGTCTGACCTTTCTATATGTTGTCTCCTTTGCTTTTGCTTTGACAAAATATTCGTCCTAGACTTTGTTTAAAGAGTGACAGTATATAAGAAGGCATCCTTGACCTGATACCAGCCCCACAGCACTCCTATGTTAGCGCTCTGTCATTTCCTACACTACTACCCATAGCAACATATAATCACCTTAGTAAAGCATCCTTCCTACTACAAGACTGTGGGAGGTAGGATCATGCGTGAGTAGTCTTTAATCCCCCTCTAACATAAATTGACATATGGTTCTCAATAAACATTTATTACATAAAGGTAATCTTGGAAAAAAGGAAAAAGAGTGAAACATAGATCTATACTTCACTACAAAATGTCCCTTGAAAATCACAAAAAAGTTATTCTATATTTTCATTTTTACCATTCCAGCTACACGAGAAAGTGCATCCTCCCAGGAGGTGAAGGTTAAAAGCCCCTTTTCGTTTCTGATCATCGGCTCAGTAAGTCTCTGACGTTTTAGCCCATCATAGGCAAACCTAGATAATAGAAATTACACCATTTGTGGAATTTTGCTAAAGAGGCAATTATAGTTTAAAACCTAAAAAAGAAAAAATTAAATATACTACTGGCTAAAGTGTTAAGTAGAACAGTAGACCTTGATACAAATAATTATTCCAAGTCCTTTTTTGGGGGATGAACTATTTTATGACATCATCTCAAACTAAAAGATCAAAAAGTATGACTTCTTATAATTGATTTTCAGCTACCTCAATGACCTTAAAATTAACAATACAAAAATAATCTGATAGCCAAGAAAAACGAATCATTTTTATTTATGAAACCTGAGTGCCTCTCTATAATTATTAAAATCATGCTGTGCAAATTCTAATTTATATTAAGCTTCTTCAATGAATGACGAGATATTAAGTACCTTATTCAATTTCTCCATTTGTAAGGAAAAAGATATTTCTCAAAGTTAATGTAAATATCAGGAATATACTTAGACTATTAATGTTAATTTTATCCAATTTTCTATATAGTTTTCAATAGTCTATATTCACTACTTTGCAATGTAAAAGATAGTTCTTTAAAATTAAAATTAACATAAAATTTCCTTTAAATCAATTGTAAATTTAAGTAAAACAAACAAAATAGCATATACCTGGTTTTATCAGAGATCCATTCTTCATTGATGTCTTCGTGCATCCTTGGCAAAATCCTCATCACCTCTCCAGTTCTTGTGCTTACCACAATATTACTTCCAACTGCATCCATCACATCAATGGATTCTGTCTTTCTGAGAAAATAAATACAAAGAAACTCTTAAGAGTTTAGAAATAAAAATAAGAATATTAATATATGTCCAAAGAGCTTAAAAAATCATGTTAAAAGAATTAAAAGGAAAACAACAAAAAAATATATCAACAAGATTGTAAGGATGAAGAAATTATGAAAAAAGAACCAAACAGAAATTTTGGAGTTGAAGTATTATAATTCATTAAAGAAACTCAACAGCAGATTTGAAATAACAAAAGGAAAAATGAGTTTGATGATAAATCAATAAAAATTATTTAATATGAAGAACAAAGAAAACAGATTTAAGAAAAAGTGCCTAAGACCTATGGGAAATCAAGTGTGGCAATATATGTTTTATAGGATTCTCAGGGTAGCCTTTGTACTAAAACATCTCAATTATACCATACCTTATGGTTCCACAGTGGTATCACACAATTTCCCTCTTTTCCAAAATGCTTTTGTGTATATAAATACATTGCTTAAAACATGGAAAGTTTAAGAAGCCCCCAATATGTTCAGGTGTGATTAAAAATGTAATTTGATTTCTCTAGAACTTAATATTCAAGCTTGTTGAAACTACCCATTCCATGTGTTGGATTAATTAGAAGAATCAGAAATATACCAAAAAGTTTATGTCTGTTTTTATCACAGACTTGTACTAAATGCAAGAAACGAACTAAAATCTAATAATAGAACTCAATAAAGCATGATACAGACACATGACTGAAAACCTAACATGTATTGAGAAAAGGCAACAAGTTTTAAAAGAACCAAGATAGTATTACTCCTTGGGAGACATGAATAAACTAATCTGATGATTAAATAGTTTAGAATTAATATCCAAGAAAAATCACTCTGCACAGGTTCACCCTAACCTTCAACCTAACTATGTATCTTAAAAGGGTTTTATTTAAAGCAAATAAAAAGATGAAAAGAAAACCCAGGTAGAAAATAACTTAAAATTTTTTTGAAAAGTAGGGAATCGAAAGACAAACCCAAACTGCAGAGGTGAATACCTTGTTTCCCAAGGCCGGGCGGTAAAGGCGTAGGGTTTGGAGGTCAGGGCACCTACAGGGCAGATATCAATGATATTCCCAGAGAGTTCAGACATGAACATCTTCTCAATATATGTACCAACTTGCATATCATTTCCTCTCCCTGTTGTTCCTAAATCATCTACTCCTGCAATCTCACTTGCAAACCTGCAAGGTAAAAATGCAGTTAGTGAAATCCAGCAAATTACCTTCTTCCCTAAGATCACAAAGAATATAACAATCATTAAATGAATGTTTGCATTTAATTATATAACCCACATACAGATGACACAAATCATGTCATCACAGTAAATTTTAGTGTTTTGTGAATTTTGATTTTTTAAAAAGATTATCTTATTTATGCATACAAAAGCTGGAATATAGGCCAGAGGTGCAGGGAGTGTGAGGATTCACTAGAGACAAAGTGGGGAGCAGAACAGGCAGACTGCTGAAATCTACTGCAGAGAAGTGCAGTGAGCAAGACAGCAGAGGTCTGCTGCACCGTGTGGGTCAGCTCCCCGGCTGGAGTAGCTGCAGACAGCTTCATAGTACTGAGACTTAATACCGTCCACCACCAGGAGGCTCCAAATTTTGAGACTTAAATCCAAGTGAAGTTGATATTAACTTATCACATTCACTGCGTTAATTTAGTAACATCATTAAAAGCAACTTCCTTCCCCCCCCCACCAAATACAAATTATCTTTTCCAAGTAATGTTATTCCATGAAATTCTCTGGATAGTAAGCATAAAATGGCATTCCAGCAGGAGGGGGAAATTACCTGATACAGCGAGTACACTGTATGCATCTCGTCATGATGGTCTTTACCAACGGTCCAATGTTCTTGTCTTCCACAGCACGTTTTCCCTCTAAAAATCGGCTCCTATCGCTTCCAAACATCATGGACTGGTCCTTAAGAAAGTTACAAGAGTTAATCTAATGCTGCTAATGCAATTAATACTTGAGACAACAAAAATGATTCACAAAGTTCTATTATATACCTGCAGGTCACATTCACCTCCTTGATCACAAATAGGACAGTCCAGTGGGTGATTTGCTAGTAAGAACTCCATCACTCCTTCTCTGTATGGAAAATTATGTGAAATGACACAAACTGTTGGCATTCAAAATGGTTTACATACAGACTATTTAAATAGCTTTCACACACGTATGCTCTCTTATGTAACAAGCATTAATTAGCTTGACATTAATTAGTTTTCAGAAATGCCAACATAAACAAAGTTCTGGTAGTATTAAAAACACAACCTTAAAAAGACTTACAAAAGTCTATAATAAAATATCACTGAAGAACTTAGAATGCTTAGATTTCTTTTAACCCCCATTCCAGGATACTATGACATTTGCCAATACATAGTTCCCCAAAGTTGTTGAATGGTCCTTAGAAAATGTCTATATTAATTCAACAACATAACAAACACATGCAGAGTAAAACAATCAGTGCCAATACAGTCTAGCAATATAACACTGCAATACTTTAGGTTCATAAGTTCCAACCTCACTGTTCATCAAAATTGAATATGTTACCAATTATGGGCTTTTAATATTGATTTCAAAGGCTCAATACCATAAACACTGGCCTTCACTTCCACTATATAACTCATTTTCACTGTTCCCTGAAGCCAAGCACATCAACTTACTCAGTCTGATACTGAATTTCTAATCTGTGCGAAAGTCTAAATACTGAAAGGTACAGTTTTTGGCTCTAACAAGTTACTACAACAAGCGGCAATCAAGTACCTGGCTTTCTTAGACTTCTCAGAATTTGTCAGGATATTCCAACCTTTCATTACTGGCATGGCACAAGCAGCTACAACCTAGAATTTCAATGGACAAATCTGTAAGTTTTTTTTTTTTAAGATTTTTATTTATTTATGCATATAGAAATGGGGTACAAGCCAGAGGTACAGGGGTGGTGAGAAGATTCACCAGAGACAGAGTGGGGGCAGAACAGGCCAACTGACGAAGTACACTGCTGAGAGGAGCAGCGGGGGTCAGGAGAGGTCTGCAGCGCCACGTGGTCACCTCTGGAGCTGGGGTTCGAACTCGCACTGAAGCAGCTGCAGCTAGCTTGCAGTGCTGCGTCCTTACCCGTTGTGCCACCAGGGAGGGCCCAAATCTGTAAGTATTTTTATTTATTTGTAATAATAAGCAACCTAATATAGAAAAACATTAAATTACACATTTGAAAACAAGCAGACAGTATTTTTTTAGTAAAATTTTTAATTTTCATATGTGTAACAGGATAATCTAGTACTTTGTTTCTCTCAGAAACAAAATACCTTCTTAACTTATTCTAAAAGTCAATGTAATTTTTTATAAAGGGCTCTGAAATAAGACATCAAGTACTGTGATTAGCAGGCACTAGTGAATTAAAATTGCCTAAGACAAATGATACTGAAAGTGAATCTCTTCTCTACTACCCTTTCTCTAGTTAAATGTGGCATAGTTACATATCCCTAGAGAGTGCTGGGCAACTCCACCTCCTAGTTGTGTGACACAAAGTTATCTGAAAACATTGACAACCACAAAAAGTCACTTTTAATTTCTAAATCTAAATTTTATGGCACTCGTGTTTACAAAGCACTTTGTAATCACAAATCAGTGTGTTTCCAATTTCAAAATGAAAAGAATCAATCACAGGAAAAATATAAATTTACTACATGGAGGTAAACAGGGTCAGGTTCTTCTCTTAAACATAATGATTCTCAATAAAATTTGCTGCAAATTTAAAGTTTTCTACCTTCTACAGCATGGTGTGGAATTTTAGTTATCAAGTACCTTAGGAGCTTTCTCAATTTCAACAAGGCACATTCTGCAGTTTCCAGCAACAGACAATCTTTCATGATAACAGAACCTAGGGATCTGCATGCCAACCTTCTCACAAGCCTAAACAAAGCAAAAAATATTGTATTAGAATAACTTTACATCATTCTTGTCTTGTAAAACAAAGGAAACCATCCTCTCTTTACCTAATTCTACCTATCTATTAATCATCTACATTTTCACTCACTCTTATTTCATTCCTGTCAAGATTTTCCCCATTGCCCTTGCTCTCCGTGTCTAGCTACCTCTTACGGATCCGCAGAATGTCTATACCTCACGTGGAAGAAACTGAGTGAAGTATCCCCAGATTGTGCTGAACGCTTGCATTCCCATCACCACTCTGAATAAATGTCCAAAAAGATTTTCCCCTTTCACATGGACTTTCTCTTTTCCTAGCTCTCCTCCTTTGTATTAGGAATTCCCTTTCATACAGTTTACCTGTCTCTTATCTTTAGACTTATATACCTTCCCAAGGATTCATACACCCACATGGCTGAAGTTCTTCCAGTTCCTGTATATGTATTCAAGGGATTAATTCCTCCTTTTTGAGCCAATAAATGTATTTACATTTCCTCTAGAGTTACTTCATCAGTTTTTCACTTATTCAGCAAAAATGTAATAAGTCTTCCTGTGTGCTAGATATTGCTATAATAGTGAGCAATACAGACACTGTTCCAGCCTTCATATATCTTATTCCATTATTACATCCAAACCTTCACCTGCAGCCCTGATAATCCTCCCCTAGGTTTCTAGCCTCAGACTTCAATGGCATTTGCACGTGTATGCTCCACAGGTGGTTAAAATTCAGTCTACTTCTGACCCTACTACACAGACCCAAGTATGTGAACAAAGCCAGAAACGATAAAAATTCCTTAGCTCATCATCATTCCTAAAGGTCTAGCTATGTCTTATTCTTCCTTACATCTGATTTTCATTCCTGTTACCACTATTTTAGTTTAGGTCTTTCATTTCCTACTTTTCTAACATTAAGATAGACTTTGTTTATCTCTCACTCCAGTCTTACTACTCTCCAAACCATCACTCTCTATGTCTTTGTCATACAGCTTTATAGTCACCAAACTCTTTGATGGGTCAAGCTATAACTTCTTTAATAGGGCATATACTATCTTTTATGACTGGATCTTCTCTACCAGAGTATCTTAATTTCCTGCTCTCTCATTTTTACATGTACCTTATAGTCCACCAATACCAAACTCTTTGAAGTTTTTTTGTCCACATATTAACACCTATTTGTCCCTTAAAATCATTTCAGGGATCATCTACTATGCCTCTGACATCTCTTTATACCACTTCCCCTATCTGCCAAAATATTCTTCACTATACTGTGAATGTACTTTTGTTCTACATACATAAATGTCAATAAAGTATTGACATTTAAACAACAGTCACATATAGTGACTGCTAAAATGAGTAAAACACACCGAGTTCTATGGTAACTATTGTAGATGGAATGGAGCAACACTGTTTCATGACCAATTTTGTTATTGCTGGATGAATATGAAGAAATGAAATATTTAGGGCATGAATTCAAGAATGTACTTCCTTCCATTTACCTGCTTTGAAGTTACTCTTAGGAATATTACTGAAAACAGACAGGCTAAATGAGAAATCAAGCAGGTGCATCAAAAAAGCCATCTTTCCCTCAAACTTACATATACTAATACTTCATTTAGGCAACTTCAGATTGTAAGCTTTATTTATATTTACTTATGCCTATAAGAACAGTGGTATAGGTCAGAAGTACACAGGGTGATAGGATTCATCAGAAACGGGGGAACAGAAAGGTGAATCTACTGAAATACACTGCGGAGGGGAGCACAGGTGAAACAGGAAAAGTCTGCACCGTGTGGATTATAGCTTACAGCACTGAGGCTTAACCATTGTGCCACTGGGCAGGCTCCTCTTTAATGAACATTTAAAAGGATATATGCTTACTTGGAGGACAGTAGTTCCTGGTTCCACCATGACAGACTGACCATCAACAAATACTTCAATCAAGTTGCTTGCTGCTGTAGCAGTTGTTCTAACTAACCATGAAAAATAATGACATGAATTTATTACAGCAGAGGTAATGGATAAAACAATCTAATGAACAAGACATTTTCCCTCATTTTAACTATTCTCTTCTATTTCTCTAAATACAAACTTTCAAAATACTGAACTAGAAAGGTTTTCTATATACAAAATATTAAAGATTATGAAGATCTCCTTTTAATAACAGTTTAAGTTGAATGTTTTAATTCCACTAGAAATTTATCTGTGGAAAAGACCACTTTTCAAAAGCTGACTGTTGCTTTTTGTAATAGTTTGCAAAATATTGCAGATGGGCAATTCCCACTAGTTTGTATTTCAAGGTAACTTCCTATAAACTATTTAGTGTAATTTTACATTTTAAAAATCAGTCTGCTCAACTTACAACATTTGCTTCTATTTTTATTTTAATATAAATTATGTATTTAGGGTCTTCCAGAAAAAATTTCATATGGAATTAACAAAGATAGAAAATCCAGTACACAGAAATACAAAATTTTTTAAAAAAAGAAAAAACTCACCACATCCTTGTGAAGATTTAGAAAGGCCTAGTAAGGCCCTTCTTACAGGTATTCTTAACATATTCCTAGAAGTAAAACAAAGAAGAATTATATTACTATAGGAGAGGGGAAAAAAACCTGATCACAATGTCCTGGGTAATATTTTAGGGTTTTAACGCTTCACATAAACAATTTCATTGAATATTCATAAGTCCTGATCTGTCTCCTTAAATTCCAGGTTTCTTTCTCCTTTTCCTAATAAGCCTGTCCTTTTAAAATGTCAAAAAAAAAAAAAAAAAAAAAACCACCGTTTGAGGGAGATTAACTGACTCGTGCAATGTCAAGGAGCTAAGAAGGAATGCCTAGTATTTACATGTGGGCCTTCTAACTGGAAGTTAAAAAGTAATTTTGTTGTTATGTTCAACAACCAACTAATAATCAAATACTACTACCTATTAAAGTGAATGTCAAGAATAAGAGCAAGTTTGTCATCAACAGCTATGTAAAATAAAGCCCAACTTTCTGCTTTAATTTTGATATGGGTTTTAACATTCTGTATTCTGAGCAGTTATCTACCAAATGCTTTTGACATGCCTTGCATTATCTGTAGGAGCTCAGTGTCAGTTAATGCTAAATTCAATTTAGACAGTACTTGCCACTGAAAAAATATTCAAGTATACCTGTGTCACCTTTACTATGAGCACACTCAGTACATTTATCATCTTCATTATCCTACTTAAGTTTCAGGCTAATAATATGTCAGTACCTACAGAGCTGTAAATGAATAGGTAAATGAATGATAATGAATATTGTCATTTGACTTTTCTGAAGACCTAGCATAGTGCCATTGGGTAAGTAATCATCTAATACTCTTATTGCCAAGTTCCAGAATGAGTAGCACCTGTCCTATTAAAAGCTAGATAAACCTGAATTTGCTGAAGTGGAGTCATGTCAGATTCAGAACAAAGAATATTTCATAAATGATGTCTTTAATACTATTATTTTGTTTGTCTCCAATATAAAAGCAGCGGCCACTTCAGGAAATCGACCAGAACTAGTGGGGTGTTGAATATATATCTAATAGAATACTGCATAGTCCAAGCTAAGAAATACAGATTTGCAAACCTTTGAGGTATAATTTACATATTAATGTGTCAAGTAGAAATAGAAACAGTCATCTCAAAGATGGGAAAATGTTATTAACAATCATTTCTAAAGTTAGACTGGAAACTTTTTTTTTTTTTTAAATATTTATTTATTTATTCATACAGAACTGGGGTACAGGCCAGAGATGCGGAGGGTGAGAGGATTCACCAGAGACAGAGTGGGGAGCAGAACAGGCAGATTGACAAAGTACACTGCTGAGGGGAGCAGTGGGCGGGCCAGGAGAGGTCTGCCACGCCATGTGGTCACCTCCGGGGCAGGCGGGAATCGAACTCACGCGGAAGCGGCTTTAGATTCTCAGTGCTGTGCTTTAACCCGCTGCGCCATAGACTGGAAACTTTTATACTACCCCACATTTCCCACGTATCCTGCATTCCTCCTCTTCTCTTTCTGAGGTATCATCTTCGAGAAGCCATCATCACCTCTGGCCTTGTTTACATAGCCTGGCTTCTGCAGTTCCCACAATAACTTTCCTCCTTCCCACCAGCTGTGTCCTTAGTTTTTTCCTTCAGGTAGTTCTAGTTACATCTCCTCCATCAAAGTTTGATTAAAAGCCATTCCTCGGGGAGACTTTCTTCGACCAAGTTATCTAACATTTCCTAACTACTCCCTGGTCATTTTATTAGAATGGATTAATTTCTAGCTTATAACAGAAGTTCCATAACTATTCACAAAGTGAACTGTCTCCAACCTGTTCTTAACTTCCGCTTTCAGGGAAAGCAGAAGCAGTTGCTTCAGGCTTATAACACCTTAACAACACACATAAAATTCGGGAGCGATATGTGTGACCATTCCGCAAAAGCAAAACCAAAAACCCTGGTGTTGATTCATCAGAAATAATTCAAATTACATTTTCATTGTTATTTCATCCTTGGACAGAACTTCGTCTCACCCAAGATCTTGCAGAATAAGCTATTGATTCTAAGTTCTTTAAAACAACTAGTTGTCATCTGTAAGTGCAACCTTGGGCTAGTTTTTGAAATGTCCTTTCCTCAGTTTCCCCATTAGTGAAGGAAGTGACAAGTGCTACCCAACGCAGTCATGACTCAAAAAACCAATCCGATGCCTGGACTGTTGCTAGGGCAATAGCAGACAATGATCTACAGTAACAAGAATATGTTCATTTGGGGGAAATTACTCGGTCTCTACCACATGACTCGGGTTCTCTCCAGGGAACAAAACGGCCTCCTCAGACAGGAGAATGTCCTGCACCTTGCAGAGGGAAGGTCATTCACAAGCCTGCATTCGGGTCACCACTTCTCAGAGCCTCCTGCTCCTCCTCCTCCTTTCGGCTCCATCACCCCAAGACCACAGCTAACAGTCCTCCCTTGCTGGTTCTCCAAGGTTCCCGGGATAGCCGGGTGGGACGCGGCGCCAGTCAAGGACAAGAGGAGAATGAGTTGCCGGGGCCAAAGGAGACGAGCTCTTCACGAAATAAACTCCTGTGGTCTAGGCATCTCAGTCTTCTCACCCAAACACAACCTCACCTTTTCTCCGGAGCCGCCGAAGCTGCTCTGCAGAACTGTTTGCACCTCACTGACCCCTTCAGAGGCCTGGCCGCTTACTCAATATGGCGGCCCAGGGCAACTCCGTCAACCCGACCTGGAGAACGGAAAGCCAGGAGGGACCAGAAATACCAGATTCGACAGTTTCCCTCTTCGATTGAGTTCGGTACTTTCCGTCAACATGACAAGGCGGAACGAAAGGCGTGGTGGTGAGAGGAGGCAGGGGAGAGGAGATCATGACGGCTCGAATCCGCAGTTCCGCCGGAAGTGGCGGGGCGGCCCTGAAGCCGAGAGTGTTCGGTTTTCTCCGGCGCTTGGAGGGGCGGGTCTCTTAATCTTCGAGCGCCGTAAAACTGCTAATTTAAGAAATGCCGCCTTTACTAAAGTATTTTCAAAGGCAAAGGAAGGTCCGTTTGTAATCTGTGGGCTATTTCATTCAGGTTTACCGGATTTACGTTGAGGAATGAAAATTTTGACGTCCTTTGACCTTTAGCCTTTGGCCGGGCGCGGCGAAGGGAACCGCCCCCCCCCGCTCTATATAAGGAATTTTCCGGCCTTTGGCGGCCCTTTTTCCCTCTCAGCGCTGTGCGCTTACCGCCAGCGCTTAGCTTCGTCTCCGCTGCGGAATAGCTTGGATATCGACCCACACCATGGGTTTTGGAGACTTGAAAAGCCCAGCAGGCCTCCAAGTGCTTAACGATTACCTAGCGGACAAAAGTTACATCGAGGGGTGAGTGGACGGACTCGGTCTGGATGCCGTCCGGGGCCACGTGGCAGGCTGCTGCTGGAGGGAAGGAGGTCGGCCCCAGCCCCCCCGGAGGGGAGGGCTGCGAGGGGGAAAAGCCCAAAATGTGCTTTCTTCCCATCTCATTGACTCAACTAGGCTTTCCCTGTCCAAACGTGGTCCTGTAGAGTCACGTTTGCTTGCAATCTGTGCACTGGCGAACATTCCCGGAGAAAGCAGATGGTTCCTGGTTTCGAGTTTGTTACAGGGAAAAGCAAAAACAAAAACAAAAAAAAACCCGCACAGCAGTTTAGCCTGGTAACTGCAGTTTATTTGCTGGAGTCTGGTTTTTCTTTCAAGGGCGTGTGTAGTTATTTCTGTGTCATCGGCAGGTATGTGCCCTCGCAAGCAGACGTGGCAGTATTTGAAGCAGTTTCCGGCCCACCACCTGCCGACCTGTACCATGCCCTGCGTTGGTATAACCACATCAAGTCTTTCGAAAAGGAAAAAGCAAGGTAAATTGTCTTTGTGTGCAATACTAAGAATAGGATATCTTCTCAACAGTCAGGAAGTAACATGACAAAGTTGGACCCAGCCTCTTGATGGTCTTGTTAGGACATTGTAAGCTAAAATTCTTTGTTACTTTAGAAGGCCAAGAGACTGAAGTCCTCCATTTTTTCACGGAACAGGTAGAACATGGACAGCACCAATTCAACTTTTCCCCACACTGCCCTGCCAATGTGCCTCCACCCTGACCTGGGGGCCCACCTCTGGGGTGAGAGGGTGGCTCATTCATTCAGTTCTTGGCCATTCTTCTGAAACTGCCAACAGGGTGGAAGTTTGGGGAAGTGGACTCCAGTTCACTAAGAATGGAACTGAGCATACTTAATGAGATCTCAAACAGAAACAGTCAGACTGAAAGTAAATCATAGTGAGTATTGAACATCTCACATGTTACTAATGTTTTCTGGGTGAGGAGTTAAGTAGATAAACTGGGGAGTGTTGTGGGGTAAATTCTTAGAAAAGGGGTATGTTGATAGTAATGTAAACAAATTCTGTTGTACTGTTTCAGAAGGATATCACACCAACCTAATTGTAGTTGAATTAAATTTTCTCTTTAAGTCTGCCGGGAGTGAAGAAAGCTTTGGGCAAGTATGGCCCTGCTAATGTGGAAGACACCACAGGAAGTGGCGCTACAGATAGTAAAGATGATGATGACATTGATCTCTTTGGATCTGATGATGAGGAGGTATGACATAGGTCAATGTAAGCACAGGCTTTCAAACAGAATTGTCTGGATTTTAATCCTGGCTATATTTACCTGCGTTTGAAAAACTTCCCACTGATTATGACATGATGAATAAAATCAAATCACCATCTTTCGGCTGAGCTCGTGATGGATTTGCTTTATTCTGATAAAAGTGGTCCTTATCGTGATGCTTCACCAGCTTTAAGCTGAGGAATAACCAGCTTTGTGAAATACTAAATTTTTTCTTTACAGGAAAGTGAAGAAGCTAAGAGGCTAAGAGAAGAACGTCTTGCACAGTATGAGTCAAAGAAAGCCAAAAGTAGGTTACTTCATGATTAGTTTATTCATTTCATGATGTGAGTAAAATTTTAGGAGCTTGATCCCCAAAGTATTTCCTTATTTGTTCAACAATATCAAAATCCTCTATAAAGATGGTTGATCGTAAAACTTCCACAGCAACTGGTCTGCATCTGTTCTTACTATAGCAGTTGTGGCATTCCACTGTGGGAAAGAGACTGTTATGAGATTAAATACCCCTTTCTTAGTAAAACAGAAAGTGGGCAAATCTGTGACAAACAGGCTGTTTTCTATAGCTTTGTTTGGCAAATTGTGGACATGACAATTCTTGATAAAACAAATGGTGACTTGTTAAGTATGTTGCTGTAGATAGAAAATTAAAACAGTATTTGAGTAATGGTATCTCTTCATTCTTTTTTAGAGCCTGCACTTGTTGCCAAGTCTTCCATCTTGCTAGATGTGAAACCGTGGGATGATGAGACAGATATGGCCAAACTAGAGGAGTGTGTCAGAAGCATTCAAGCAGACGGCTTGGTTTGGGGCTCTTGTAAGTTCAGTCTTTGTTTTTAGAAATTGGTGTTAGAATTCTCACATAGTTTCAACCTTTGCTAATCAATGGAACTTATTCTAAGATTTTTCTTAATGCTTATTTCAGCTAAACTAGTTCCAGTGGGGTATGGAATTAAGAAACTTCAAATACAGTGTGTGGTTGAAGACGATAAAGTTGGAACAGATATGCTGGAGGAGCAGATCACTGCTTTTGAGGACTATGTGCAGTCCATGGACGTGGCTGCTTTCAACAAGATCTAAAATCCATCATGGGTCATGACCCTTAAATAAAAATTTGAAAGACAAGCTTTGGCTCTTCACTCTTAAATGGGGCAGATAGAGGAGATGTATTTATATTCCTTCTAATTTGAGGAAAGAAATTTACTGGATAAGTAATTAATCTAAATTTGGGTCAACATTCTTTTAAAAGGGGACAGACTTTTTATTCCTTTATTGTAAGATTTTTGTGTAGAAGAACTGGGGTACAGGCCAGAAGGATTCTCCAGAGACGTAAGGGAGCATAAGAGGCAGATCCACTGAAATACACTGCTAAGGGGAGAAGTGGGAGCGACGGAAGAGGTCTGCTGCACCATGTGGTTATCTCCTATTGGCTGGGAATCAAACTCAGGCCATCAGCACCTTCAAGGCACTAGTGTTAAGACTAATCCATAGGCCACCCAGGAGGCCCAAAAGGGGACACATTTTTCAAAGTTGAGTATAGATATTTAAAGTTTTTGCATTCGCCTTGCTTTTAAGAGGAAAATCAGGGAGATAGGGCTAATTATATACAATCAAGACTAGGTTAAAAATTGTTCAGACTCCTGACTAATGGGTCACAAAGTTAATGAGCTGGTTTTCCTTAGGAAAGTGCCTTTTGGAATGAGGAGAAATGGGTCAATATACATGTAAAGTGCTCACAAGGATACTGGACACATGGTGAATAATGTCTATTTCATAAATGAAGCATTTGGAGACAAATGTTGGGATGAAACCAACATTTCTTTTCTAGTTAACAGCATCAGGTTGGTGGATAAATGACCAAAGTCATGTAATTATGGATTCCATCTGAAAATATCAAAATAACATGCATTGTGCTTTGTTGGTAAAGGACCCCTAACCAGGGGAGGGAAATTGGGTCAGGGAAGAATTCCTGTCAAGCAGAATTTGCAAATTTAAAATGTAAGCATCTCAGATACTGGTAAGGGAGAACTTGGCTTTAAGTGGAATATTGAATCTTAATGGGGAGGTGGAGGTCTTATGGGAGGTCTTACGGAACGGTTCACCTTCACAGGTAGATGAGCCAATCCCAACAGCATTAGGGTATAAGGCAGGAACCACCCCTAGCCAGGCCCACTTGTAAAGGCACGCTGCTCACATTCAGAGTAGGACAATTTCAACACCCCAGTGAACTTAATGTGTACAGCTGTAGGGGGTTTGAAGAAATAAGTACCCAGAGACAATATAGGCATGGGGAGAACTATGAGATCCTTACCTTAGCAAGTAGTACCGTTTTTAATAATCTTAGAAACATCATCACTGGGTAAAGATACTGCTAGGAAGTTAGTGTATTTTTCAAATGATACTGTAAACAGCTGCATCTTAACTAGTGTTTTATGTATTTGATTATATTTCCATAAGTAGTTTTGTAAGTTATTTTTGTAGAGAAGAATTTATAAAAGTGGGGAATTGGGAATTTATGACCTTGAGGTTTCAATTATAGTTCTGTAATCTCTAGCAGACATTATTTGAGGTCAAAATTTTCCTACTAGAAACACAAAACGCCTTTCCCTGCTCAGTCTGGTTTTATGTGAGTACTATGAATGTGGAAACTTGCTTAAAATCAAGTTTTAGTTGAACGTAAATATGTATATATGTGTGTGTGTGCACATATATGAAATCTTTAATAAGTAACATTTAGTCCAGTAACATCAGATGCCATCTAAAATCACTGAAGAGATTTTTTGATCCAGCAGAGGGCAGCATAACATCTTTAGAAAACCTAGAGATTCTGGAAATTTCCTTTGCTGTTAAGCTAGAGTTGTAGTAACTGAATAGTATTGAAAAATAATTAACAGCCAATACTATGATGAAGGGGTTGAGTACCAAATAATGAAAATGTAGAGGAAAGTATTGATGACAAAAAACTAGTAGTTTGATTAAAAGTGAAGGGAGGTCAAAAATTTAGTACCACCCCAGGTGTGTTGTAAATCTTAGAGTAATGAATGATGGAGCATGCAACTTAAATCTCAACTTCACAGATTTAAGTAAAAAATATATTTAATAGTATTTTGAAAGTGAAATAATGTGTTAATTCAGGTCACAATTCAAAAGGTTATTCAGTGAAGTCTTTTCTGTCCCTCCAATTTCCTATTATCTCCACAGAAGTAACCAGTGTCAACAGATTTGTAAGGATTTCGGAGATATTAATTGTAGCATTGACACAGACTCCAATGCACTTGTGTTTGTCCATGGAACTAAACTTGGGTTATCTTGGAGTATATCTGTATCTTGAGTATTCCATATCAATATATCAGAATCTTTTACTCATTTTTTTTTTTTTTTAGTTATATGATCCATTGCCTCATATCTGACATAACCTGCCCATTGGATTTTTGCATTGCTCTCCATTTTTTGCTTTTATAAACTGTTCATGTTTGCATGCGAACCAGTATATTGAATAAACTGTTTTTGAGCTGATGGACTCAGAAGTCATAAAGATACAGAAAAGGATTTTTTTTTTTCTGTTTCTGATTTTTGGGGTGAAAGACAAAAAATTAACGCTCACCTTTTTTTCATGCCATATAAGTGGATACAATGACAAGCTTTGCTTATTTTTCATATAAAGTACCTCTTGTATAGGACTGGGACAGTGTAGAATTCAAAACTGATTCAGCATTACTTTTAGTGCTGTAAATAGGTGAAACTAAAAAAAATGTGTAGAGATGCTTTGAAAGACTTTAAGAATTACTCCTTTATTGTAAGATTTTTGTTGGGTATAGAATTGGGGTGTAAGCCAGAGGTGGGAGGGTGAGAGGATTCACTGGAGACAGTAGGGAGTATAACAACAGGCAGATCTGATAATACAGCTGAGGGGAGCGTTGGGGGAGGTGGGAGAGATTTGCTATGCCTTGTGAGTCACCCAGACTGGGGATCAAACTCAGGCCATCTCAGTGATAGTGCTGAGACTTAACCCTAGACCACCAGGGAGACCCCACATTTGTTAAGTCATTTTGTGATTAGGCAAGTTACCCAACATTTCAGAGAAAGAAGGGTAGATTGGAGGAAAAGTTTTTAAGAAGAATTGAGACTTGAGCTGGGTAAACCTTAATTAGTAATTTGTTTTAGAAAGGGGATTCTGGAGGGTGCAAAAGGCAGAATGAGAAGACTTTCGGGAAGCAATTAAACCAGTTTGCTGGGTTTTGTGGTGCTAATTTGAGATTACTGAGGATGGAGGTTTATGATAGACTGACTCATTGTGTGAGGGCAGTGGGGAGCCTTGAAGGTTTTCGAGGCTGAGAATGTCCAAAAAAGGCAGCTCTGATCTGAAGGTGTAGATGGAAGCAGGGAATACAATGACTTAGAATATGAACATAAACAGAAGTGAGTAAATTATGATGTATCTACTCAATGAAAAATTTTATAAACAACACAATTACTTTAAAAACACATTGATTTTTTTTTTTTCAGTGGAAAGAAGTTTTGAACAGACACAAATCTAAAGAGTTGCCTCATTACCCAGATTCCAACTGCCAGGGAAAAGACTTGGAATCTACAATCCTGTCCAGAATTTATTTTTGTGTCAAAGAACTGGCATACAGGCTAGAGGTGCAGGGGATTCACCAGAGACAGTGGAGAGCAGAACAGGCAGACTGACTGAAATACACTGCTGAGGGGAGCAGGGGGTGAGACAGGAGAGGTCTGCTGTGTCATATGAGTCAGAACCCTGGCAAAGATCCGAACTCAGACTGTCAGGCTGTCATGGTTGGTGTTTGCTGTGACAGCTCTGAGATATTTAACCCCTAGGCCACCAGAGAGGTCCCCAAATTTTAAATTTTATTTGAAAGCATTTTGCTATGGAAAAGACCCCTAAGATTCATTAGATTCTCAAATGAGCTCAATTTCTTTTAAGGCCCATGTAGACTTTTAGGCATTTTTCTTTCTGGAAGCTCTAATTTATATCATAAAACACTGAAATCTACATGTTACATGATCACATAATCATTTAAGTACTATGAAGATGTATCTTAAACACATGTAATTGTTAATTTTGGTTTTCTGTGTTTCCTTTTAGTATTCTAAAAGCCAATGTGTTTAAATATTCTAAAGCAAATTGTTTAAGATTTCAAATATTTTCATAGATCCTTGGAAAACTCAAATGTCCCAGGTGTCTTGCCCATAGAGTCAAACGGGAAAAATGACTCAGGGTACCAAGCCCCCCAAGATTAAGAAATCCTGCTCTGAAATGTAACTTCTAGAACATCCCAGCTTCAATAATTCCTCTGCCAATGGGTTGCTTCAATTTCCTTGCTCCTTAAGGTCTTTCAATTTCTTCACAGCCTTGGGATTTTTTTTGTCTTTGTCTCCAAACTAAGAATGAGTTTACAGCATTCTCTTTTCTTTCTGAGATTGCCCAATTTTTCTCTGGATTCCAAGGATCTACCTCTTAAAGGCCAAGGTGAACTCCAGCTCAAGCCCTGGTGGTGGAGAGGGCAGGATCAAAGGCTGTACAATAGACTAGAAACTGGAACCTTCTCTCCCTGCCTTCCCTTAAAGCAATATTGGATATGCAAAAGCCGTGAAGCTTGGGAATCACTGGAATTTAGGGCCATATATTCTTGGTGAATAATTCACAAAATCCAATCTGTTCAACCACTGCAGCATAAATTCAATCCTTCGGCCACAGAGCCAAGTCAGTTCACCTTTTCTGCTCCCCACTCTGTCTCTGGTGAATTCTCTCAGTACCCGGGCCACCCCACTGTACCTGTGGCCTGCTACCCACCAGCTCTTGTATGCATAAATAAATACGACTAAATCTTAGGGGGGGGAATATCTGATTATCTATAGAATAACAGTTAAGAATATAATGAAGAGTGATCTGATACTAGTATTTCCAAAAGCAAAGAGATGAAATAAAGGATACTCATTTAGGAAACACGTGACTTACTACTTGAAAATAAGATCATGAAATTACAGAAAATTAAAGTTTAAAATTGTAGTAACGTTTTTTTATTCACAAAAGGCAAAGATACCAGCAGAGACAAAGGCAAGAACATAGATTTCCATTGTTAACCACCTCCACAATGGATGTGATCTCTTTGCTCTCTGAATAAACTACCTTTTCCTGGCTCTCTTACGGCACTTAATACTGTTTACCTAGTTTTAGGGTTGTTCTTGTGCAGGTTTAATCTCTAAACTGTAAGAGTCTTGGTATCCCTCACAATATCTTCCTTCTAGGTACACAACTATTTGCTAAAGGGAGAAATGAATAGAAGCCAATATATACTCTTCATCTAAAATATAACAGATTTTGCCCTGAAGAGGTGACTAATTTAAGAATACTTTTTGATCTTATACTGGTGCCTATAGAAATGTAGTTCCAGTAATAGAAAGTACAAATTATATCAATGTGTCACACATGCTCTTTTTCTGAAATAATTTGGGATTAGGCCAGTCTTATTTGGATGTTCATAGCAATCTTACACATATTTCCACATACCCAGAATTTTCACAAACCATATAAACTCATAATCTCATGGAGGATTAAAGATGGGAGCATATCCCCCATTGAAAGGTAGGGTCTGTGTCCCCTCCCGTTAAATGCCTTGACCAAAAGTGTAAGACTGTGTATGTTGGGCATAAGTAGGACTAGAAGCTTCCAACTCTTGGAGTCCTAAATTGCCATAGATGAGTCATATAATAAGTGCCATATACTCTATGGTGCTATGCTAAAATATCTGGAAAAAGAAGAGACAGGAAGAAAGAGTAGGGAAGGGAGTGGAGAGAGGAGCGATGTGCTCAGCCAACCCCAACTAGTCCAAACCTCAGCCGTTTGGATCATGCTAGCTCAGTTGAGTTTCCACATATGAGCAGGCCCTTTCCCTTTTGTGCTTTGCTTGAATTCCTGACTCTTAACTGTGAGCTGTAATAAGAATAAATTGTTTTTAACAATTTGACTTTGGGACAGTTTATTAGGCATATAGCTAAGTGGAATAGTGATTTAAAGTAAGCACTTATTACTTTAATTCATAAACATAATTACATGAATTAAAAAATTAAGTACAGGTTTCATTTTAAGAATGTTTAAAAGATTACTTGTGCAAAATTAAATTTATGCAAACATTTAACATTTTTGAAATTAGTTAATCATAGATAGATATGTAGGATTTAGAACTTTTAAAATGTTACTAGGATTAGAAAGAATTGCTGACTTTATAGTAGTGAGTAGTGATTAATTCTCTATAATACAATTAGAAAGAATGACACAGATAATTTAATAACTGGGAAAAAAAAGATCCTAAGTTTTAGGTATGCACAAATGTGTTTCCAATAAATTGAACAAAACAGCAACAAAATAGGGTTAGCTGTGTATCTTGGAATCAACCGAAAAGCATCAGTCAGGGACCCCACACTTAGGGGTTTTTGTTGTTGTTGTTGCTGTTTTTCATTTTAAAAAGATTTATGCTGACTTGTGGGAGGGTTCCAATTCACTGCGCTGTTTCCAGGAGACACAGGTTCTTGGTTTCCAAGTTCCTGAGCTGTTCGCTCATAGTGCCAGAACAGCTGACTTCCCACAGTGTGTACTTCAGTATCTCAGCAATGGAGGCCCGAAAGTGCTTCTGGAACTTCTTACTGATCAGGACATAAAGAATGGGGTTCAAGCAACTGTTGAGGAATGCCAAGCCAGTGGAGAGAGGGATTCCGGCCTGTAGTACCTGGTGAAAATAGCTATTGTGGTGAATTGTAAGCTCCCAAATGCTAAAAAGGTGATAAGGAGTCCAACAAATCAAAAAGGCCATGACCACGGCCAGGATTGTCCAGAATTGTTTACTGGAGATCAAGATGCTTCGCTTCTTCACCTTGAAGATGAGACACAAGTAGCAAATGCTCATTGTCAGCAGAGGGAAGAGGTACCCAACAGTAACTTTGACCCAGGTCAGAACATGGTGCCTCATCAAAACGAGGTCAGGATCATACTCATGGAAGTTATTATAGCAAAGAGTGTGGTTATTGAACTCCAGGGTGTTCCGGAAGTATAAGGCAGGGCCACCCATTAGAGAAGCCAAAAGCCAAACAAACAAAATAACTAACAAAGAGTTCTTTAAGGTTCGGTGCCGATGGGATAACACAGGATGGATCAAGTGGATGCAGCGGTCCAGACTGATCACTGTCAGGAAGAAAACACTGGCAAACATATTCAACTGAGCAATGAAAGAATTGGCCTTGCACAACCAACGGCCAAAGGGCCAGTGGAAATCCATGGCCACGTAGGAGATGTACAGGGGCAGGAAGAGAAGAAAAATGAAATCTGCAACAGCCAGATTGAGAAACCACAGAGTGCTGACAGTTTTCTTCCACTTGAATCCCACAAACCAAATGACAGTAGCATTTCCTGGAATGCCCAGAACAAAGGCTAAGCAGCATAACACCAGGGACACCCAGTGAACAGCTCCCAGGTGAACATTCTCTGTGTCAGACTCTGGGGAATAGTATTCTAGGGCGTAGGAGTAGTTCTCAAATTCTTCAAATAATGCTTCCTCGAGGTCGTCCATGACCTTGCTAAGTGGAAAACAAAAATAAAGACGTAAATTTTTGTCAAAAGAAAACAAAAAAGAAATGTTCAGTCATTGATAAGGGATATAAGGATAATAATATTTCATCTTAGGGAGTAGAAATAATGTATTTCTTGCCGAGACTTGTGATTAAATTCTAGGTGTTCAAGTCTTGGTAGACTTCACTTTCACTCTGATTATTCTCAAAGCTCTGAGAGTTCACATTGGTAAAGTATTCAGCAAATGTTAAAATAATTCTACAGATGCAGACCCTTTTCATAATAGTTATAGAGTTGACTAAAGATAACCTAACCTTCAACAAACATTTACTTGGTTCTTACTATGCTTTATTATCTTATGAAAGATGTCGAAGAAAACAATACTTACCTCGTGATGAATCCAAAAACCTGTATGTGCACCCTAAGCTTTTACATTCTAGGTGAACAATTCCACTGTCTCTTCAACCCATCCACCTGGGTGTCAACTGGAAGTTTTGAACCATGATTTTGTGCCTACAGATAGTTGGATCTTGTATTCACGAATACATGTTCACCAGAACTATATCAAGGTGGATAGTTATTCACCAAAAAAAAAAAAAAAAAAAAGAATTACTAATGTAGACTATACTATGACTTTAATTTTTATATTAATTTCTTAGGGAGTACAATTTAAGTTTTTTTTTTAAAAGATATTTTAAAAAACAGAACTGGGGTAAGTAAAGGCCAGAGCTGCAGGGGCCGTGAGAGAATTCATCAGAGACAGAGTGGGGAGGAGACCAGGGGGATCTATTGAAGTACACTGCTGAGGGAACCAGGGGGCAGGTCAGGACAGGTCACCTCCCTGGCTGGGATTGAACTCCTGCTGAAGTGGCTGCAGCTAGCTTCATAGTGCTGTGCTCTAACCTGCTGAGCCATCAGGGAAGGCCCACAATTTAAGTTTTTTTTTTTTTAACTTCAATTTTACTTAAAGCTCTGTTTTGAATTTACTCCAGTTCTTTTCTATAACCATTTACAAAAAGATCTGACTTGTTAGTCAGTTTTGTTTATTTATGTCTATATCAAATTTTACATACTATAGTTTTGACCAAAATAAGTTTTCTCTTGTGGTTTTTTAATTTTTTTTCCTCTTCTCATATTAAAGTCAGTTTTCCTGGGCAAAGAAGAGTTAAATGTCACTTTATTAATGAAAATAAGAGTTTACTGGGTACAATTTTAGCTTCATCCATTTCATTTTGTGTGATCCAAAACAAGTAGAAAAAAGGTTAACACTTGTATTCATTTCATGGAGATACAGTCACCAATGGAGAAAATATGTAAGATGCGACATTACTGTAGGATTGGAAAGAACAGTTCAAAACACCGTGTGTTGCTCAGACATCGTAAACTCAGCTAACACTGAATTCCTAATCTTACCTAAAATCATTTGATAAATGTAAAAACAACCCATCAACATAACCTCCCAACCCAGACCTAGGCAACTTTTCCTTATTCAATTTTAGCTCAAATATAACCTTTTTGGGGGAGCATTCCCTAGTATTGCCTTCTCTCAAACAATTACAAAATTAATAGTAATGCTTCTTGTTATTACAAATAATAGTGTTATTTGGAATTTACTAGGTGCCAGGCTGTATGATCTGATTTGATCCTCACAAGATTCTTATGAAGTAAGTCAGTACTATTCTTATTCCCATTTACAAGAAGGAAAACTGAAGTTTAGAGTTGTTTAGAGACTTTTTCAGGATCACGCACTGTCTTTGGAGAGCCAGAGTCTAAACTCAGATCTCTTGTACCCAGATCCTGAGCTCTTACACACTGATGATATTCCCCCTCTCATCATGCTTCTCTTATTGTGCTTAGCACTCTATAGTCAGTTTTATCTTTAATTTCTGTCCTACCAAACTTGAGAACAGTGACATCATCTCTGTACCTACACAAGTCGTAACATCACAGGGCTTAAAAATTGCTTGATTGATAGGCTCTGCTACACATTCTGGTCAGGGCCTGCAACTTTAAAGCCTCAGATGATGTTCTGTGGTTTACTCTTAAGTCAATATCATTGCCAGACTTGCTGACCTTGACCCACAGGATCTTGCCTTGTTTCTTAACACCAAGTTCTTTCCTTTGCTGTCCTAGTCCAGCCAGGAATAATTGGCTTTTTGTCTTGCTGATTCATTCTTTAGGTCTGGGATCTTACTCTGTTCTCTGCTCCTACTGATAACTCATCCTCCTTGGTGTCAAATCCTTTCCAGGCTTCCTTGCCTTGGTTTTCTGCATATTATACTGGGATATCCTTAGCTTCATGGTGCCAATGAATGGCTTTTCCAGATTACTGATAATTCTGAAACCAAATGACCCAGGTGGTGTTTAAATCACCTTACATCACTCTAAGCAGTGAGTAAAGAAGTCCCCAAACATAGAAAACCAGTAGGAGACCCCTTTTTGCACATAATCACTATCCTCACCAGAAGTTAGGAGCTTCCACTTTGTTACATCTTTAATGACCTTTCTGGGATGGAATTATCACAGGCTTTACTGCAGGACAAGCCCCTAAATCCCCATTTCGCCATTCCCAGTTCTTGTGGGGCAGGGGTAGGTACCTTGGTAAAAAGTGATGTGTCTTAACAGAATCCCTCCAACCAGAAAGCACTCTATGCCAGAGATTCCTGATCTGCCGGAATGCAAATGAGTAGATGAGATAGATGCATGGATCAGTTCAGGCTTGGAGAAGATCTTCAGCTGAACGAATCCTTAATAGGAGACATAAACTAGGAATTTCCCTATGACTTTAAGCAGATATTTTTGTGTGGTGGTGATTACAAGGGGTGAAAAAAAGAGAAGTAAGGGAGAATTTAGCAGCTGACCTACAAGTCCTTGGGCAGACAGTTAACCCTCAAGGGCATACTGACATTTGATTAATTACTATATATTTTGCTTTACAGTTTACAGGCACTCCAATTCTAATTAAGTTTCCAAATCTCACTTTCACTTGACAAATGTCTAGATAGTAGATACTAATTGCATTATTTATCTAGGGCTGCCCTAACAAAACATCTTAAAATAACAGAAGTCATCTCGAAGTCTGTAGGCTAGAAGGCTAGAATCCAGGAGTGGGGAAGGCTACCCTCTGTGAGCTGTGAGGGAGAATCTGTCCCATGCCTCCTGTCTATATTCTGGTGTTTTGCAGACAAATGTTGGTATGTACACGCATAAGCCAATATCTGCTCTCATTTTCACATGCTGTTCTCTCTGTGTCCAAATTTCCTCTTTTATAAGGACACCAGTTATACTGGTTTAGGACGCACCATAATGACTTCATTTCAACTCAGTGAATGCTGCAAAGAAGCATTCACTTATTTCTAAATAAAACCACATTGTGAGATGGACTTGAGCACATCTTTTCAGGAACAGGGGCCATGATTCAACCCCTAACATGAACCACTGGCAACCACTAATACTGAATCTTGATCACTCATTCAGTAAATATTTATTTACTTAGTGTAATGCCTATATTTGTCAGGCGCTATTCTGAGTGGAACGCTTCCCTCAACAAGACAACTATTTCTTAGCTTCCTAGATTTTAAATTCTAGCAGAACATAGATAGTAAAAGACAAACATAATAAGAAAACAAATTACATAGTTTGTTAAAAGGTGGCAAGTGCTATAGAAAAATGAGGGGGCAGGCTAGGCGAAAGAGATGAGAGAAGTGGTTATAACTTTCAATGGGGACGGTTAGGGACGGACTCTTCCAGGTAGAGGGAACAGCCAGTGCAAAGACCCTGTGACATTCTAACATATTTCAGAAACAGGGTGCCACTATGTCTAGAATAGGGTGAACAAAGTGAGTAAGGGGAAGAGTACAGGAAAGCAGCAAGAAGGATATAAGAGGTCATGTAGACATTTGTAGGCCATAGAAAACCTGGCTTTTTCTGTAAGGGAAATGGGAGCCCACGTCATTATTCTGAACACAGGAGAAAGTAGAGAATGGTTTATATTATAGAAAAACCCCTCTTTCTTGCTATATTGAGAAAACACACCTGTGTAGTCCTCGGAGGTAAGAGAGGGGGAAGCAAATATATACATTGGGAGACCAATTAGGAAATTATTATAAATAATCTAGCCAGAGATGAGGGTGGTTGGGATGAGAGCAGTAGTAGTAACAGAGGTAAAGAGAAATCTAGAAGTGATTCTAGATCCATTTTGAAGAGCTATATATCACTTTTCTTCTATTTTCCTATATTCTCTGGATGGACTGCGGGTTCAGTGGAGTCATCTTGTACCACAGGCATGAGGCAAATATGCTTTTTCACCAGCTAGAAGCTGAGGTCCTGGATGACCTGATGGAGCAGAGCTGCTCCACTTCTCTGGTCTACCCCCTTCTGGACTGTTAAATGTGATACTTTTTTTTAAAAAAAGATTTATTTATTTATTTATTCATACAGAACTGGGGTACAGGCCAGAGATGTGTAGGGTGAGAGGATTCACCAGAGACAGAGTGGGAAGCAGAACAGGTAGATCGAAGTACACTGTTGAGGGAGCAGCGGGTGGTCACTAGAGGTCTTCCTCACCGTGTGCATCTCCTGGGGGGTGGGGGGGGCAGGAGGGGATCGATTGCACAAGTGGCTTAACCTTCTTAGTGCTGTGCTTTAACCCTTTACACCACCAGGGAGGGCCGTGAAACTTTTTTTTTTTTTAAAGATTTATTGCACTTATGCAAGCAAAAACTGAGGTGTAGGGGAGAGGTGCTGGGAGGGGAGGAGGTGAGAGGATTCACCAGAGACAGAGTAGAGAACAGAAAGGCAGATCAACTGAAATACCCTGCTGAGGGAAATAGTGGGTGAGACAGGAGAGGTCTGCTGTGCTATGAGGGTCACCTCCCTGGCTGAGGATGGAACTCATGCTGCTGTGGCTGGTGATGCCGTGATAGTGCTGAGACATTAACCTCTCTCTACCTCGGGAGGTCCTTAAATATGTGACAGTTTTCCTCACTCTTCCTTTCAGTTTGGTTAA